TCATGGCGCTAAAAATACGTGTTGCGGTGACGGTATTTCGTTGACTTTTCTTGCGGTGATGCGGTGTTCGTTAATTTTTTTTGGCGGTGTTGCGGTGTTCAGAACCCCCCATGTCCCCCTCCCGGAGAAATTTGAAACCGGAGGTTTCACTCTGAAAACGCATAAAATGTTTTCCGTCCACACTACGCCGGAGAAATTTGAAAAAAACACATGATTATCGCAACGTCATCGATTTCGGAAAGCTCCGTTTTCAAAATGTTTTCCGTGCTCACTAAAACGCATAGCCAGCCTTCTCAAAATTACTCCGGTTTGAAGAGCGTTTTCGAAAAGCTCCGTTTTCGTGACAGATTAGTGTGAACGGTAGGCTTAACCGTAGACATAAACCTGGGTTTTGAAATTTCTCCGGCGTAGTGTACACGAGGCCTAAGGCGGGCGTAAATAATGTAATGGAAAATAATTGAGATAAAAGATACAGGATCTTAAAATCAATTGTTCTTTTAGGGCCACGAAGTTCATACTGCTTTCGATTTGAGAGCCTTCTGATACGGTGTACGAGAGCTCAATGAGGATGATCCATAAAAGGCTATTTATGTCTATTGCAATTCTGGGCTGTCTTTCATTAATTTGCTTATATATTTCATCTGATAAACAGAGAGTTAAAGGTAAGAAATTTATGAAACAAAATAACCCAGTTTAGCAAAGGGATCAAAGGCATATGTATTTATATTAGCCGCAAGAGAGAATATTAAATGACTGTCCCTGACCTTTGTATAGAGTTTGCAGAAAGGCATGAATTTTGTTTCAGTCTTTTTCTGAGAGGTTTGATTTTCAAAATAACTGGCAAAGTTCTCGGCTGACCTTGAAAAGTCGACTGAGAACTTCGGTCGATCGATGTGAGTATCAGTCATGAAATTTCTTTACCGACTGAAACTGAAGGTAACACAACGAAATATTATTACTTTATGTCCTGTTTGACCCGAAGCTTCCAACTGTTCATGTTAAGCTTCAATCGTACCCTTGTTACAATGTGTTATGTGTGTGGCCGGTGCCAAATTATACCTAGGGTAGTATTCTAGTATTCCAGTTTTGCCAATTGTTGTCTGAATTCCGACACAATGAACATTGTCCTATTATCATTCATTCTCTAGTATTGAAGAACAACATCAATTTTGACAAGTGGGTCGAACTTTCTGAGGAACAACTAACTGGCAAATGTTCAGTGTTATTACAGTAATTAACCAAAAATGCAAAAGTTTTCTGCCGAAATTTTGTTCAAATAGGTCAATTGGACAGATTCGTAGGGAAAGAAGAAAGTTTGAAATTAAACTGTAGTTTTGTAAACAAAAATCGCAGCAAACTCTCTACGTTTAAGAAGTCGTACTGTAGTTGGAATTATTAGCGATGCTCGAGTGTCTCGGTCACCGAGATGTAATTACTGTTTTTATGTAGATTCTACAGCTTTGTGAGACAACGCCTGTACATATATTCTCAAATACAGTCTCCTCGTGGCTAATAGGTATAATGATCTATGACTTTTTGCAAGTCTGTAAATAGATCTGTTGGCCGAAACGCTAACAACGTAATCTATACTTGAAGTGTTCTGGCCCGCCTTGAGATGGATTTCTAAGTGGATTTAATTTTCTTGGCAGGTTATTCCTTTCTAGCATTCAAGGATACTTCATCGGGATCAGAAAGGTCAAATTTAGCGCAGGTAAGAAAAGCGTTAAACCCACTATCAGGAAACTCAAATGACAGACTACTGAAATCACAGTATTTATAGAAATAAACACGATCAAGGGTAAACGGTCGATTGGACACTGCGGTGGAGGTAAGGAGGGGAGAGGGTAGGGGTATGATACGGGGAGATTTAGTATGCGTTTTTGGGGGAGGGGATGAGCTGGGAATTGTTTTTCAAGAGGCAATTTTCGTATCGACATATTTTCTGGCCGATCTTTTCCGAGGTTTGATGGGAGTTGCAAATGAAAAGTTGAAGAGTTAAGTCAGTAGAAGTTGTTATTTAGCATATCAGTTTTCCGACTATACAGTACTTCGGCTTTTCTCTTATATAGTGCATTCGCTATAATAGCCTGATAATACCCAGTAGTGGTATGTACTTTTTTGACAAGTTTTTAGTTCGATTGCGTCCTTTGGTTTGAAAATTTTTAAATTGAAAATAGAAGTTTTCACACCACACGACTTCAAGATTACCTGGAGAAGGCTAGTCATGAGATTAGCAGTCTAAACACTTCGGAGCCCACTCACGGTATTTTGAGTGTGTAAAACTTTGTGACGGATATCTTGAGTACGGAATATCTTACACACCTGCATATGAGACTCGGAGGAGTTGATTATTTATTAGTACTTTATAAATTTAAGTTCATGACTTCTTTTATTCAATGGTTTCGACTTTGCTTTATGTTGTGCCCGGCGCCAAGCCTGCTCGTTGCTGCGTCAAGAAATTAATGTTTTCTCTCCTGACAGGTTCTGAAAAATGCAGGTTCTCCAAAATGTAAAAGCTTTCCACAGTTAGACGAAACCGCTCTATATTAGTCCTGGATTAATCCTTCATTCCGTTCAGTGTTAGTCAAATGTTATGGGTGAGCACTCGAGCGAGCACGAAAATCACGACGACATGCCCGTACACGCAACGCGCAAGGACCGAGAAAAGGCGCGGGCCTCGCTCGCCGCGTCTCCTCGGCCTCATAAGAGAGTGGTTTTCGCGCGGTTTTGTGTGCTTTCCTTCTCGACATGTGGGACAATAAAACGACTAGATGTTATGATGTTGTTACATTTTCAGCTCACTAACGTCATGGCATCAAGACAGCAGGAGCGGAAACGCCAAGTGTCAGCCTATTGCAGAATGGCAAAAAAAAGTGTATTGCAGCCAAGGAGCCTGAATCACTTCATAGTGGACAACAAACATAGGATTGTCTATTGTTATATTCCTAAAGTCGCTTGCACCACATGGAAAAAAATCATGGCGCATCTAGTTGGACTTAAAAGCAAATCTGTGCACGAGCAGAGGTTTAACTTGCTAAGCTTTCACTCGAAAGCCAAAGCACGGTCGATTTTACAAAGCTATTACAAGTTTCTCTTCGTTCGAGAGCCGTTTGAGAGACTGCTATCGGCCTACAGAGACAAATTCACGAGGAAAACCAATGTCTGGAAAAAATACGCGAAGAAAGTCAAACGATCTGTCGGACTAAGACTGGGTGCTAATGGGAGCACCATAGCAGACAACAATGGGGAAATCACTTTCCAGGAATTTGTTACGTATCTGATCGACGTCAGTAGTAAAGGAGGCCGCCTCAACGAGCACTGGCGCCATTACGAGTCACTCTGTCATCCGTGCAACATAAACTTTGATTTTATTGGACATTACGAGACATTGGAGGACGATGCCCCGTTTGTCTTACATGAAACGGGTGTCGATCAATTTGTTTCATTCCCTCCTGTTCATTTCACATCAACGAAGGACGATTTGCAGCGCTATTACTCGAAAGTTCCAAGAGAAGATATTATACGACTGCAAGGAATATATAGGCGTGACTTTGAAATTTTCGGATACAAAGCTTTGCAATCTGTTAGAAATGTTATTAATCCTGCTGACGCCAATAAGACTGAGTCATAGTTGCCCTTCGCGGCCATGTTTGCGTGGTACATTGTTGTTCAGTTGCGTTAGTGGAACCATAAAGGCCATT